CTACTTGTGCAGTACGTCGGGCATGGGGCTAGTGCTTGGAGGGCGGAGTCTAGTGGTTCTCAATGGGCACGCAGACGCTTCTTGGGCTGAGGACCAGGCTACTCAGCGGTCGTCGCAGGGTTACACCTTCAGTCTTGTTTCCGGCTCTGTTTCGTGGCGGGCTACTCGCTCGTCTTCTGTTCTCGGCTCCAGTTGTGAGGCTGAGATCTACGCCGGGGCCATGGCTGCTCAGGAGCTTCGCTAGCTCACCTACCTGCTGACCGACCTTGGAGAGCCGCCCCGTTCTCCTCCAGTGCTGTACGTAGACAACAAGGCCATGCTGGCCTTGTGTCGAGAGCAGCGCCTGGAGCACATAACGAAGCACATTGCTCTCTGCTTCTTTCTTGCTCGTGAGCTGCAACAGCGTGGTCAGTTGCGACTTGCGTACGTGGCCTCTGAGGCCAACACTGCTGATGTTTTCACCAAGGCACTTCCGCCTTGTGATCATCAGCGCTTCTGCACTCAGCTGGGACTTGTCCCGGTCTTGCCTCACTTGCTCACCTCTTGACCTTACTTGTACTCTTGCTTATATATATACCTACTCTTGCTTGTTTAGAATTATATATATATGTCTCCTCCTGCATGTAAACTGGCCTTGTGGCCTTGACCTTGTGCTCAGACTGTGTGGTGACGTTGTGATCCACCCTGAGCTTGCTTTGCTTTGCTTTGCTTGACTGGTCTTGTGACCCCTTGTTCTCCCCACTTTGCCTATGGGGGTGTGTCAGAACATCATAGTTTATGCTTTTGTGTAGGCTATAGTGGGGTATCCCATAGGGGGTACAACAGAATTAGGGTTTCTTATATGTACTCACTTTATTCATAGTTCATTCCTTCGCGTTCACTTCTTCAGAACCAAATGGTTGCATCGTGGTGGCCCAAAGGGCTATCAAACAGGGCCATTGTCCCATCGAACAGGACCACAGTCCCACCGTTTTCCCCCAACTCGGCCGTTAGGGCGTGTGTGATTTAGGGGTTTAAGAAAATTTCATGTTTCTGACTCGATTTGAGCAGGGTTTAGAAAACTGAACTTGACTCGACTTTGAGCGATGACAATGTTCCAACCGCGGATGACAATGCTTTTAGATTCACAATCACACACGGAGGCGCGAATTTGCAAGTTCTAATTGACATGGGGGAACCGAGCCGTATATTGGCACTGTAGGTTACCCGGTTTCAATCACTTGACAGCGCGACACGTCACCGAAGCGCAGCTAAAAAAAGAGCACGCTAGACCTTCAGCACGGCTTAGGGATACAACTCAGCATCACACAATGACTCCCATACAGCTCGTGCGTTTTCTCGGAATTGTACTTCAAGGCTACATGCGATGCTTCTTACTTCCGACCCTCACCGCCATTGGTGCTGCCATCCCCTCACTCGTCGCATCATTCACTCTGCGACAGTGCCGTCTATTCGTTTGTGGGGATCGCCAGGATGCTCGCATGCGGTGGTTCAACCTAATTATCCTTCTGCCTGTGGACAGGCTACATTCGTTTACGAGTACTGCGCTTGGACCGGCGTGTATTCATTTATCTCGTGCGGCAGTACCAACGCAACAACACCTCTACGCAGACGCATCTGCTCCACCACTTCATTTTCATCGCGCTGGGACTTCACCGTCTCGGAGATGGTCTTACATTTTGTCAACTCGGTCACGCCCAGAAACTTTTCACGCAGTTTCTTGACTTCGTTAACAGGGTCCTACTGGAGAAGTGGGTCATCTGGCCTGACTTTGACATGTGTCAAGTCTTCGAGCGTGAATTTCGTATGGAGGCAGGTTTTCTTGGTGCCGTGGGTGCCATGAATGGCACCTATATCCACTGCCAAGGTCAGGGGCCACACTGCGAAGATTCTCGAAATCACAAAAGTTTATTCAACATTATTGCACAACTAATCTGTGACTGCAGTGGCTAAATCTACGACTTCTACGTCGGATGGCCGGGAAGCGTCAATGACGCAAGGGTCTTTCAGCACGGTCCAGCAGGACACAAGATCTAGCTAGGTGGTCTCTACGACTACGCCATCGTCTCCGACACCGCCTATGGTGTATGACATCTTATTTCTTCACTTATATGTAGCTAGTACCTTTTATCGAAGTTGGTTGTCTGACAACTTACGAAGCAAGGAAAATCATCCCAAAACACTTACTTGCAGAGGTGCTGGTTGACGGCAGGTTAACCACATTAGCCCCAGGGAGGCTACCTGTTAGTGCGGACGTGCATTCGCGCGATCCCTGAAGATGCGGTCGAAGATGTCATAGAATATGGGCAACTTCGGGGGGCGTCCTTTGCCAGAATCTTTGAGTAGGAGATCCCCCACATGCCGATATTGGGCCTCCATCCAGAAGACTTTAGCCTTCACAGAGGCCAGATTATGCTGGAAGTCTGGGTGGCGCTCCCGCAGCTTCTGGAATAACATCACGTCCCGGTTCTGCCCTTGCAAGCGGGTCTGGCCGCGCCATTGGGAGTCGTAGTCATGGCGGATCCACGCCAGCTGCATCACCTCGTGCGGTTCCCAGCGAGGCCGGTCGGACGGCATCGCGGGGTCAGTGTCCTCGTCGTCGGTGTCTTCTAAGTCGCAGTCTACCTCTCCGGCGTCGAAATAGGCCAGCGTGTCGTCGGTGGCGTTAAGTGGGGTGTTGTGCGAGGGAACTCGAGCAATCACTTGATCGAGATCTATCACGTCTAATCCGCGTGCGGTAGTATTATCTATCGGTGCACGTCGACGGCGGGCAGGAGTGCTAGCAGCAACTGGAGCAGTGGTAGGTGCCTTGGTTCCATTGGCTTCATTATGTGACGCGGACATGGTGATCCAATTCTACGCTGAAGGCACAGCTTGAATGCGGGGTATGGTTACCTTTAATCCCTGTGAGCTGCTTTTTGTAGGGGGGGTTGGGGGTTGAGGAAGATGTCAAGATTGTTGGCGGGATTGCATAGCCCAATGCGACGCGGCGGGTGAGACGCGCAAACGACACGCCATTGTGCCACGACGCATGCCACATGGTGGGCTTAGCGCGATGGGCGATGCGCAGGGTCATGGATGTGACTCCATTGGTGCACGAAAGAATCGCGAGGCTCGCTGAAACCTCGTACGTGCCTGAGACAACACACGTTCGGTTCATGGTGGTCAACAGGGTTTGTGCATATATTCGAATCTTGTTCACATTTATAGGTTCGCACTTAGAGAAGTTGGTGATGGAGTCAAGCTTGACGAAACTTTCTGCGAACATTGGCGACATGGGTAACCACACCAAGTTCGACCCGTATTACGAACTCCAAAAAAAATCACACACGCCTTTAGACTTGGTGAACGAAGCCGGCCAAGGGTCTGCGCCAATGATTACGCTGCCGGCGCTGACTCGCAACTTGGGATTTGTCGTTTTACTCTCACCATTGTGCGAGCACAATGGGATGATATACCTCGGCCGACGAAAACGGCCGCCCAATTTCGCGGTTGCGATAGGACAACGAACCCCCTCGGGATTGACGAGCTCCTGACGACTTGCGAGTGGCAAACTGGGGCGACCTGGCAGTCCTCCGGGGCCCTCAACCCCTCGGGATTGTCGACAACCTGACGACCTCGATATTCGCTGAGAGAAACCTGAGAAGGATACCTCAGCGGACCCTGAACCACAGCTCCACACGTCGTGCGCCGAGCCGCGATTACGGCCACGTGGCCTAGTAAGGACGGTCGAGATCGAGCCTGACAATCGGGAGGTGCCACGACGACGCCGACGTGGCCCCGCTTCGCAGCACCTGTATCTTTCGCTGCGCGCGAAACTTGGCCCGCCGATGAAAAATGTCACCATCGTCCACGCGGCGAAAGCCGACTGGCTAAGGCATGTACATGTGTCCACCATCTAGATAGCCAGAGAACGCGTGGTAATGAGATGTCGGTGTCGCCCGAAGATCCAACCGCAGCAGCACGACCCACACGGATGGTTCTGTGCGGACCAAACCCTGCATAGGCGAAGAGAGCCCCTGACTCAGGGAATGTCGGCGTCGACCAGGCCTCCGGCCACGCGCCTACTCGCAGGTCGATGAGGTTTGCGCGGGAGAGCAGGACGCTACGGCATTTCGGGAGAGTGGAACTAGGTGATTGGCCTATTGCACCTATTGCAAGTGGCGCACGTGAATTCCACCGTGGCAAGGCACCGGCGGGAGTGCCATTGAGCGCAAAGTGGCGTGATACTAAACATGCATCGATCGTGACACGTCATGCACGTGCACTGCTGCGCTTGCAAAGAGGGCTGCGTGGAGCGCGGCAGGTGCGCAGTGGCCCGCATCCATACCCCTCTTTGACCACGCACAACACTCTCATTCTGCCTGTTTCGCTTCGTGTTTCTCTCGTGCTCCTGTGTGCCATCTGGCACTTCGCTTTCTTCACAGAACCCTCGCTGTCTCTGCGGGTCTAGGTTACTCGACGGCCGAGTCGAACCAGCGGCGGCACTCAGGCGTCGACCTGGAATAGACTTCGGTCGGCACTAAGGCGTCGACGTGAATCACTTCCGTCTCTGGTTTACCAATCTTTCCCTCTTCCACGGCCGGCGGTAGAGCATACGAGCGGTCATGGACGACGTCGACATGCCCGACGTTGGTACCCCAACCGACCATAGTCCGTCCTCTGCCCCCGTAGAGACGCTGAAGTTGTTTTACAATCTTGACAAACTTACTCAGATTCCCAAAGGGGTGTACACCAAGGACATACCGACTCCGCCAATTGGGGAGTTTACGAAGAAGTCGACACCGACGGAAGATGGGCAGCCTGGACCTTCGTCGGTTCCGGCCGGCTCGGAAAACCAAGATGATGACGACGACGAGGACGAGGAAGAGAGCGACGACGAAGTCGACGACCGTCCTCCGCGTAGCACAAATCCGCGCACCTTGGAAGAACGCCTTAGGCGGGAATTTGAATACATACGTGACATGCTCGAAGAGGACGAGAAGGAGGACAATCAGCACATGGCGGTGCCGCGCGAAGGGTGGAAGGCGACGGACTTTGTAGTGGACGACATGGTGTACTCCAGCATTGACGTGCTCATAATGGACGCCCTACGACACCTACAATGCTTGGAGAAGAATAGCACGCTCAGGCTGTACACCGCGTTCATCTACCACTACAAGAAGTGGGCGGCGAAGATGCTGAAGCAGATACGCGACAAGCTCCCCCATGAGCAACGACTTAGGCACGTCGACGAGATCGGCCACTACATCTGCGACAACAAGAAAAAGGATTGGTGCAACGAGAAAGTGGTCCGCCGAGAGTACATCTGGCTGCACGGCCCTAAGGTCACCGAAGCCCGGCTGCGCGCCTACGTGAAGCAAATGAGCCGTGAGTGTAACCTCATTGCTGACCAGCCCGGGGAGGAGAACAATGCCACGCGAACGGGGCCTGTGAGGTCGACAACTGTGCACACGATCCTCGGCCGCATAAAGGCATGCCAGATGGCGGCGAGGGTGGAGGCGACGCTGTACCGAGAGAAGGAGTTGGGCATCATGAGGGAGATCTCGGTGGTGAGATCGGAGGTGCGGTTCAACGTCCGCCACAAGAACGAGAGGGACATTTAGTAAGTTGGTCTACAACCTTATTATATATCACTGTCCACTGTGAAGTCGACGCAGTCTAACAGATTTTCCCCGCCGATTTGCGTTCAGGAACTGCGCCGACCGTCGACGCGGCACCATCGGCGATACCTACACCGCCGAGCAGTTCCGCCAGATCATGATGAGGGTGCTGCCGACATGGGCGGCGTCGGCGTGGAACCCGCGGGCTACCACTCCGTCGCAGACGCTGTGGCGATTCCTGCTCATCAAGCTGCTCACGCTACTCTCCCACCACACTCTCCTGCGCGGCGCCAGCATCCGCGAGATCACGCTCCCCGACGTCTTCTTGTACCACCTGGCGAGCACCTTGGAGGTGAACCCGGATAGCCAGCCGGTCGTCATGGTGATCGCCGCGCGTAACTCGAAGACTTCCAAGGATGCCCGTCTTCAGCAGAGCTACGCTGCGCGACACCTGGAAGCGGAGCTGTGCGCCGTCGGCGAGACCGGCCTGTGGCTGCACTTCATCCTCGACCAGATCGGTCAGTTCTCCGGCACCGACTTCCTTTCGCCGCTTGACACCACAGAACGCGAACGCTGGTACAAGAAGCACCTCTTCTTCGCCAGAAACGACAAGGAGCAGGAGGAGCTCTCCTCCGCCACCCACCAACGTTGGACTCGGCAGATGTGGAGGACCAACAAGGTGTTCTGCAAAAGGAACGTGCACGCCGCCCGCGCCGGTGGTGCGCAGGAGCTAGCCATCGGAGGGACGCCGCGCGCCCAGATCGCCGAGCTGGGACACTGGGCTCTCGACAAGATGACGCGTGCGTACATCACGGCCATTCCCGTTGGGGTGGTGATGCAGAAGGCCGGCTACTCGGGACTCAAGCAAGACTACTTTTTGGGGCGCAGCAGGGTCGAGCCCTCCGACAAACTCCTGGACCTGCTCGCCGAGCACATCTTCCCCGGCGTGGATGCTATGCCGCGCGATGTATGTCACGCGACGTCGACAATGTTTTTCAGTCGTCGTCGCCTAGTTGGCTGCCCAACTCCCTACTAACCCACGCCACTTTCCGACTTGCAGGCGGAGACGCGTGCCGTCAACGGGAGCGACGCCGATGCAGCCGCAGTGCACTTCTTGCGCACCCTCGTGATGTTCCGACGAATCGTCGCCGAGGACCTCGCGGTGAAGCTCGTCCGCACACCGTGGCACCCGTACGTCCAAGGTTCCAAGCTCTGCAGGATTGCCCTCTTCCAGCACTGGGCGAAAAGGGTCGAGTCGGTCGACACCAATACGATCAAAAAGCGCCGGGACCCGACTCAGATACAACCGGAGGTGAGTCGCCGACCATGTCGGCGTCGTTGAATTTTAGCCGGTGAATTCTAACCTCTTGTCGCCTTTCCGCACACTCAACATTGCAGGAAATATCCGTGCGCATGGACACCCAGTATCACAACATGTCCCTCAAGGAGGCGCTGAAGAAGGAGGTCGAGCGCTCGGCGCTCGAGAAGCTAGGCTACCAGGAGACGATCGAGAAGCAAAACGACACCATCGCGTCGCTCACCGCCAAGCTTGCTCGACTCACCGAGGCACTCCGTGTGTCAGAAGCCCGGAGGATGCCGGCGGCGCCGCTGTCGGCGACCGATCAAACTCCGGGCGAGGGTGGCTCCGCGGATCCGGCCAACACGGGGACCGGAGCCAAGAGAGATGATGGGAAACCCCCGCCACCCCCCAAGACGGCAGAGGAGGCCAGTTACGAGCTCAACGTGGTGCAACCGTGGCGGGATTCAAAGACCGTGCGGGACGCTTGGCGCCTCTGGAACTCCGCCACCGCCAATGACACCCGTCGTCTTTGCGACGGGGTCGCCGAGCCGGGGTTCATCGACCGCCACACCCTCCTCAAAGGCGCGACCCAGGGTGCACTCAACATGAGGGTGCGCCGCATGCTGAAGGCCATGGATGCGGTGCGCCAGCTACGCGCGAGCGACGGCGATGCCGACACCGAAGCCGTGGTCGATGCACTGAACACGATCGCGGCACCGGGCATTGGGACCTTCTGCGATGCCCTCACGGTGCTCAACCCGGAGACGGCACCGACGATGTCCAAGGAGCCTGGCATGGGCGTCAAGGGGCTTGGCCCCAAGGTGGTCTCGAAGCTACGCCTCGCCTGTGCGCTGGTGGCGCTGGAGCTGAAGCCGACGACGTGGGCCGACCGCCTGTTTCCAGACACCTGGGAGGAGCAGATGCCGAAGACTGAGGTCGACTTGGCCAAGCAGACCGCACCTGCGCAGCGTCCTCCGTCAAATCGCAAGAAGTCGGCATGAACATCCTCGGTGCATATGTGTTAGCGTAGGTTGATGCCCTAATTTAGCAACATATGTGTTCCCATTGTACTTGTTGATGGTGATGCAACACGAACATACATGATCCAGCACATACATCCGAACCAGATATGTCAGACTCCGACATAGTCGCCACCATGTGTTTGCAATTCATTGTGCCTTATTCATGTCGACGTCTCGCACGATTGCTTGTCGATAGGGCGTCGACATATTCGCCGACATATCTCGTCGCGGAATAGCATGTGTCAACCCCGTCTATCATCGCTGCTCGCCGAGTAGGATGTTCCTTTTGATGTCGACACATGCGCCGACAAGGCGCATCGTTCAAAGTCGGCTAGCAAGTTTCAATGTGGACAGTGATTTACTAGAAAACGGAAAAAGATTCGTGCCCTACGATACAAAAGTCATTAGAATAACTTTGCCATCGGCGCCAACCATACAATAGTGCCCTGCACACCGCAGCCCGCCAACTACGCATCCGTACTGCCCATGCCCTGCTTGCTCTTCTTCCTCTTGCTGCTGCCCTTGCTCTGCTTGACCTTCTCCCCCTTCCTCCCCCTGTGATCCATATCGTACTCCATTCTCGCGTCACACGGCACATCGATGCCCTGTGCTTTGAGCTTGGGCTCGGCGACGGGGCACATTCCCCAGAACGCCAAGGTCTCGACCGTCGCTCTTGCGATCATGTCGGCCTCGACTTCCTCAACTCCCTTCGCGAAGGCCCTGGCAACTGCCTGGCTCTGCAGCGATGGCGCGACGTTATGTGCAACCTCCCCAGCGGGAGCCTGCCTGCTGCGTGCTATGTCGATCACCGCGTGCATCACCTCCTTGAAGTCCTTGGCCCTCGCCTCCCCCGCACCTGCCACCATCGCCGCCGCCTTCCCTTCGCCCACAGCACCGAGCACCGACGCCCTCGTCTCCAAGAGGCACCAGATGGCGCATGCCGATGCCGCTAACGCCTAGGCCCCCATCTCCATCTTCTCGTCCGCCTCCCCCTCCACGCTCGCATCGACCTTCCCAAACGCCGCGCTCGCCGCGACCTTCCCATACGCCGCGCACATCGACACGCGATTTACCATCGCCGACATGAGAGCGTTCGTCTCTTCCTTGCCTTCCTCCGTGTCCTCGATGATGGGGAACCAGATCGCCGGCCAGAGCACATCATGAAGCGCAACACCCGAACTCGCGTACCCACGGTACCTGCCGAGTATATCGTCGAACCTGCCGCGCAAACACATTAAAACGACAGGACTTCAGCGTTTTGACACCAACTTGGTCGACAGAACTCGGCACGTCAGTATCCGTCTTACCTTGCTCTCGGATGGCACAAGCCGCTGGCCCACATCACCGTCCACATCCCAGTGGGCAACAACTTCACCTCCGCCCACACCTCCTTCCATTTATCCAACTCCCCCGGGTTCAAGACGGTGAGCTCCTTCATGAGCACCTTGCTCACGTAGCCGTCGTAGACGACGAACGCAATCGCGTGCTCGTAGGCCAGCTCCATCTTCTCCCTCGACTTGCCGATGTACCGATTCTGTCCGTGTACCTTAATTTCGCCCACCCACCCTTGCCCGTCGCCAGCCTTGTCTCGGCGGATGCCATGACCCCTGCGTCCATGCTCTTTATCTCCCTCGCCGCCCTCCTCGTCCTCCTCCTCCGCCTTCTCCTTCTTCTTCGCCGGCTTACCCTTGCCGCCCGTCTTGTCCTTCTCCCCTTCCGCCTTCTTTCCTTTCTCTTCCGACGTCAACTTCCCCGCAGTCATCACCCGCGTGCTCCTCTGAGAGACCGCCTTCCCTTTCCCGTTGTCGTCTTTTTCCTTCCGTCCAGCATTTATCTTGGCGACAGCAGCCGTTGCGGCCGTCTGCTCTGTCGAACCCCCTCCGTGGGTCACCGACGGCACCACATGCGCCGTGTCCATGATGGCCATAACAGGGGCGTGCTCGGGGCGCTTTGCTGCCTCAAAATGGGCCATGACGACAGCGAGGTCGGCATGCTTGTCTGCGCGGCCGCCGGTGGCGAGCGCTGCATTCACTCCCTTCTCCGCCGCCACATCGACCACAGATGCACCTGGTGTGGGTGCGGTCGCGTTTACCGACATCGGCGTCGCGCTTTTGCCGAGTTCCGGCAGGGTCACTGACGGAGCAGTTGCTTTGCGTGCGCCTAAATGGGCGCGAAGAAAATCGGACTTGGGGTCCGCAGGCGGTGGGGCGGCCACCGGAGGCGCGGCAGGTGGGGCACCGGACGACTTGCCGGCAACCTGCGTAGTGACGGAACGGCGTGCTATTCCAGGAAGGCCGGCGTCGACCACGGGATGCTGCTGCACGTCCCTGCTATGTGCCTCCATGCGGCGGAGCATCTCTCTGAGCGCGGTACCACCGGGGGAGGCCTTTGTTGATGCCATGGCATCACCCTTAGCCGAAGCAACCTTCGCGACAACCTTGGCGGCAGTCGGGGCTGCTAGAGCTGGAGCAGCCTCGCCATCCTTGTTCGCACCTGACTGGCCGGCAGGCGCGCTAGTAGCCGCAAGGGGGTTACGGGGACTCGACTTGGTGGTGCCGGCAACCGTAGCAGAAGCAGGCTTGGCCGCCGCCGCGATGGGTGGTCCCTTGGTGGTTCCGGAGTCACCATCATTCGCCGCCTGAGCAGTTGGCACCTCCTTGTCGGTAACGCCTTTCCCACCGCTCGCCTGAGGATGGGTCTGCTCGGCAACCAAAGGCGGGCCAGTCGGAGCAGCTAGGTTAGCGGCAACCCCGTCGGCAGGGCCACCCTCTGCTCCCCCGCTTCCGCCTCCCTTGCTGTGCGACGTCCTTACCACCTTCCACCCCGCCTTCGTCTTCAGCTGGTCGACCACGCTTTTTTGCGCAGGCTTCGACCCGAAACTACCGTCCGCTCCCTTGCTCCGCTTCGAGCTCCCCTTGTCGTCTCCGTTGCCGGTCCTCTTATGGCCCTGCTTCTCGACCGTTTTTCTTTGCGCGTTATCGGCGTCATTGGCCGAAGGCGACGACCCACGTCGACCAGGCGCCACAGTGCCGATCATCTCTGTCATGATCTTCATCCCGGAAGCAACAAAAGACTGCTGGGTGGCCTCCGTCACCGCCTTCAGGATGTCGGCCTTGAACGACTTCAAAATCGCTTCTGGGATGGCGGGCGGCGTGGGATGAGGCGGTGGCGGCGGCGGCACGGCGAGCCTGGCGGTCAAAGCGGTGGCGATGTTGACCTGCGCAGAGGCAAGGTGGTTCGAGATGTACTCTTCCAACCCCTTCTTCGCATCGCCCACCACCGAATCCACGTGTTCGGCCAAGGAGGAGACCGCTAACGCTCGTGCATACGCGACACGACCCTCCGGATTGCCGAAGTCCTCCAACCACTCTGTCGCATGTTCCGCGAAAGTCTTCATCGACTTCCACGCTTCGTCAAAGCTGCCGGAGATGTTGCCCGTGATGGTCTTCGACATGGCCTCCGTCGCGTTTTGCAGCTGTTCCGCGGCATACTTGTCGGTGTCGTCGACCTGCTCGGCCAACCCTTTAACGTGGTCGACGAGTCGACTGACCCCAACAAAAAAACTGTCCAGCCGGGACCGCTCCGCATCGAGCAACGACGCCAGCCGAGCGTTCTCTACCCGCAACCAGTTTTCCCGTCGCAGAACCTCGACGTCGTCCAGTTCTGGGCCCTGCCGACCAGGTGCTTCCCCGGCCTCCTGCTCGCCCGTGTTGTTCGGCCCTTCGCCGGCGTCAACCGACACCTTCCCACCTCCTTTGCAGGCCGCCTCATCCTGGCCATTTCTAGGTGCCTCCACGCCGACCTCGCCCTTCTCCTTCCCCACATCTGCCGACCTCGTAGCATTTCCCGCGCCGTCATTCTTCTCTTCCTCATTCCCCTGATCTGGCGACCCCACCGCCTCTTCCGCCGCTCCCGCCTCAACCGTACCCTCTACATACTCCACCACGAACTCCACCTCTTCATCCCCCCCCTCCTCATCCTTCCCTCCCTCCCACTTCTCACCATTCTCGTCCTTATTCTCCTCCTCCTCCTCCTCATACTCCTCCTCGTCCTTACGCTTCACCGCCTCGTCTTCCTCCTCCGACTCCGACTCCGACGACGACGACGACTTCTCCGTTTCCGACCTTCGTGCACCTGCCTCTGCGTCGTCTCCTCCACCGTTTCCACCTTCCCCATGCACCCTCGCGTTCCCATGATGCTGGGCGGCAACTGCACCTTGAGGCGCCTTCTGTCCTTCCGCGACGTCATCATCTATGGCATTGTCGGCGGGTTCGGCGGCTTGAGAAGTTGGCGTCGCGGTGAGTTTTATGGCAATGACCTTGCCGACGTACTCAACCATGCTGTCGCGCAAAGCCTTCAGCCCCTTCATCCCGATGCTCTCGATGCTCACCCCACGACGACCCTTCTCGCCTGTCAGATGGTCGATCTGTTTTGCTACCCACCCGAACGACGTCGCGGAAAGCACACTGGCACCGACATGCCCGTCCGACACTGTGCCCGGCACTTTTTGCATACAAGCACGGAACATGATGAGTGGAGCGTTCAGAAACGGGCACCCCCCCCTTGCGACTTGAACGTGCAACTCACATCGCGGATAGGGTGGACGTAGTCGGCCAGCCTGACCTCCACCACTGCTTGTGATGGCGGCGCCCAGTCCCACATCCTACCGGGACGCCCCAGCTTGGCCAGGACAGCCGTACGGAAGAACCTGAAGCACCGCGGTGGGGAGGCGGTCAGCGTGTGATACCCTGTGTCGCCAACTAACAAGCGGGTCATCGACGACAATTCAGCACTTACTTTAGCACGCGGGCGGCCTCGTCGTGGTGATACCCTTTACCGGTCTGCGGGTCGATGTGCCTGATTGAGGTCCTGCACACCTGTCCCTCAGCCTTCAACAGATCTCCAGGGTATAGGATGGCAATGACGCTGCAGTGCGTTCCTGGAAGCGCACAGAGGCTGCACATGCAATTCACGACGAC